TGTTTAGACGTGATCCGATATATAATGACCTTGTTTTGTTCCAGATTATTGGCGTCGGTGGAGTCCGCCATCATTTGAAAGCATCGGGAATGACTAGAACGTACTATTTACTTTTAAAGCACTATTAATATCGTGAATTTATTTTAAAGCTGATCTCATGTTCCATCGGTCCTTTCTGGTTTATTTTTTATTTGATATCATCGACATGTCACTGAAACAGATTGTGACGCCTTCCCTGGCCGCAAGACGAAGAACCTTAGGGAGAGTATGTAAGGAATGCTTGGGAAATTTCCTTCCATTTCTCTGCGGTACTTACAGTAGAAGCCCGTGCGTCCCGTCATGTTATAAAACATTCACGGATTTAGATAGGTTATATCGTTGAAATTTGCAACAATTTCTCACCCTCGGGCATCTAGGACCTCTTCATATGAGCCCGGTAGCCGGGCTGGCTCGGCTACCGAGACGAATTTTGTGGTTTGTTCATATGGGAAATTTCAGCCCGGTCGACCGGGATGAAATCCAAGAAACAAGACCAAAATTGGTGGAACATAAACTTTTATCGTTCGCAACTGTCATAGCTTTGTGGACTCTTGTGACTTTACTAATGAAGCTATAGCTAATTCACATACTTTTGAAGTGGAAATACATGCGAGGCAAAAATTAGGCCATTTTGACCGCTATGTTGCGAAAGCGAAGCTATTTTGTAAAAAAGTTTCGTCCCGGTCACGTTCTTCATATGGGAAAATTTTCATCCCGGTCACCGAGATTCGGAATCGCCAACTATTTCTTGTTAAATATCAAGTACTCTTACATTTGAACGAGTCCTTCCGTCGATATTCAGTAAGAACTCGTACCAAACAAAAGAACTCGTACCAGTCCAGCCCGACTTTCCTTTGTTTTGAAAGTCCCACAGTGTAACTTGCGTTCCAGCGTAATTAATTCCGTACCATGTGACCGGATCCTGCAAAGGGTCTTTTGTTCGAGTTTTAATCTGGCCATAATAATTTTCAAAGTACACGAGACAATTCGTCCACTAGACAACATGCATTTCCGAAGAAAAATTGAGTGCTCTGATCTCCAGAGATCTAAATAACACTTTCCGTCGAAAATCTGTTGACATCTGCTGGTTTTATAGTCCCAATATATAGGATACAGTCGTTTGAATTTTTTATTTGTACTTGATCGAAAAATAATCGATGTGAATGGAAAAAGCATCGCAAAATTACCGATGTGAGCAGGTTCCAGCGCAAAAACTCTCACAAAGAAGGGAAGGGAGCGTTCATTAAAGAACACTGACATTTAAAATTCTCTTGTTATCCTCCCTTTTTGAAAACCACGCTGATCGTGAAAGAGCTCGTGACGTCAGGAAGAACATCCCTGTATTTGGAACAAAAGCTTTCAATCTGGCTCATAAAGACACTTGAAAAATCGCACAAAAAATTATTAATGTACATACATATACTTTATTTCCTCTCGAATTTTACGAAGCTAAAATTAGCTAATATCTTTGAGAACATAAATACAACAAAATACAATACTTATACAATAAATATGCTAAAAATAATGAAAGAGCTAAACTATGTACATAATAAAACTAGAAACAAGTTCCAATGCTACTGAAAAGAGTCATATTGTAATATTTTTCGCTTAGAACCTAACCTACCACAACGGCTAATTGTGTTATTCCCTTACACATTTCACTGCCTTTTTGCAATCCGTTCGTCATAAAATTACAACTCAAAAAGCTCAAAAGCCAGGGGCCCGTTTCTCGAAAACCCCGGAAACTTTTCGGGCCCACAAAGCCATTTTTAGTTAATTGGTATTTAAAGACAGAGAGGTGTA